GGGGGGGGGGGGGTCGGGTCACGTGCAAAAGGGGTCGGGGTAGGAGGTGAGAAAGAGAAGACCGCTTTCCATTCACACCGAGGAGAACTTCAAGTAAAGGGATCCACTGCCCGGAGACCTCGCGACACGCGCGCCCCACGTCCGGCCCCGCATGGCCGGCGGTGGCCGCGAGCCACACGACACGGCGCCTCCTCCCCCTCCTCGCCCCACCTGGCACCCGGTGCGTGTGGGGGACGCCGCCGGGGAGGCTTTTCTTTTGTCAACCGAAGCCTCTCTGAAAAAGGTCTGCGACTCCGCACGCTTCGTACCAAACGAACGAAAATAATAAATATCGATCCCGTCCACGCATCCCGCAGGCCGCCCCGCCGGCGCCGGTGTCATTTACGAGTCTGGGTCTTCTTTGGCACCGCGGGCCGCTTGGGCTGCCACAGGTGGTTGTGAATAGTGAGGGCGTCCACGCTGACGGACATGGTTTTGGCCGGGATCAGGTTAAACTGTTTCCGGTCTGAGCTGTACTTATACAGTTTGTCAACCATCTTCTTGGCGATGCTCTTTGGCCCCGTGCCGGCTAGCTTGCAGATTTCTTCGGTGTCGGGGTAGTAGCAATAAAGTGCTCGGAACTGGCAGCCCGCGTCCCGGAACAGTATGATGTAGTGGTTGGCGTCACACTTCTCCAGCTCCTGCGGTGGGGAGTAGAGGAAAAGAGACAGGGACTTGAGGGCCACGCCCAACAGTCACGGCCGCCACAGCGCCCCCGCGGGTGCCCTGCCGACGCCCGGCCCCAGCCCTCCCGCCCCGACAGCCGGCGCGGCAGGCGTCACAGGCCACGGAGACTCAGGTCGGGCTACGCGAGAAAAAATGCTTTTACAACGGAGTGAAGAGCCACACACGGTAAGAGCCACCCGAGAAACGCAAATCAAAACCATGCGGGACGCCAAGGATGCCCCCGGGGGGGCCGCAGGTGCCACTGCGGGTGTGAATCTGGGACCTCCCGCTGCCCACCGGGGACCGGAACTCACGTGGGTGGCTGCTCCCAACGCCGCGGTCACAGCGGGCCACGGCATTCCCGGTCTGAGGTGCGCGCCCGGGACGCCGAAGCACCCACACCGGCGCACCCGCACGCGCACACGCACGCCCGCCGGCACGGCTGCACGCCTCGCACAACAGCACCGTCAGAACCGTCAGGAAGGCGCGGACGTCCGAATGGCCTGTTACTGGCACGGCTACACGCCCCGGGGCCGAGAGCCACAGGAGGAGGGGAGCCCTCACCCGCACCCTGACACGGAGGGGCAGAACCACAACGCTCTGGGAGAAAGGCCCCAAAAGGCCGCCCGGCGAGGGGTTCCCTCCCGCGAAACGACCAGGAGACGTGCGTCCAGCGGCGGAGGGCAGGCCGGTGGGAGCGGGGCCGGCCCGGGTAGCGGCCAAGCGGGACAGGTTCTCTCTGCGCTCCCACAGCGCGGTGCCGGGGCCACCGCTCCGCCCACGGACGGGAACCCACGGAGCCTGCGGACGGGGTGTGTGTGTGTGGTGTGCGAGGGACACCTCAGTGACGCCGCCAGGAGGAGGAACCGGACGAAAGCGGCACTGCGGGTCCTCGTGACAGCGTCTGGCCCGCGGTGCTCTGAACTAAGCGTCCTGTGTCGCTCACGTTTGTGAACAGATCCTCCTCATGCCTGGAAAGACCTATTTCGACGCTGTGCCCTCTCGCTTCCCAAGCCCCAGTCCCGGGGCTCCCGAGACCCGACCAGGGGGTTCCGAGGTCACCGCCCTCCAACAGCAGCTACTGGGTTCCGCCTTGGGCCCCCCCCCCCCCCCAGCGTGCAGCGGGCCTTTCCAGAGGCAACGTCACGGTGTCCCCGGAACACGCTGCCTGCAGAAGCAGACAAGGACCCAGGAACTTGAAGGATTTGTAAAACCGTGAAACGGTGCCATTGTTCTTCCTAATCATTTTTTGCTTTAGAGACACTTATTTTTCAGAAACACACATTGGTTTCATCACAGTACACAGGCTTGTCGTTAACTCAGAATAACACACTATACGTATTTTAAAAGACTAACCGGGGAAAAGAGACTCCAACTCAACAAAAATCGTGTGGAAACACACACGCCGCTGGATGCACCTCCAGACACGGCCCCTGGAGGCAGCCAGTCCCATCACCGCCCTTTCGAGTCCCCACTCCCACCCTTGCTCCCCTCACGTCCGTGGTTGGCCCGCAGCCAACGTGGCGTTCGGAAGGCAGGTTGTCCAGGGTCCTCTGCCCACAGACGCCCCGTGGGAGCTTCCTGGTGCCCTCTGCCCTCCCCTGAGCTCCTCCGGCCCAGCGGCTCGCTCCCACCTGCCTGCAGCATCCTTCCCCTAACCCGCTGCCCGGCCCCCCAGGCTCATCACCTCCTCACCTACAGCACGGGCCACGCGTGGCCACCACCTGCCGCTGCAAACGACTTTATGGGGACAGAGCCACGCCCGTCCGTCCACACACAGTCTGTGGTGGGATTCACACTTATGACATCGTGCTGAGCCCCGCAGAGCAGGAACCATTTCCTGTCTGGCCTCTTATGGAAGAAGCCGAGACTCCTCCATCAAGGGCCGCCTCATACCCTAGAATGCCAGCCACACAGCCGGGACCTGTAAGTTTGCTCCCGGATGGACCCTCAGCACCTGGACCAGCATGAGACATCAAAGGAAAGGCATGCCCAGCCCCACACGGTGCAGAGGGCGTGGCTCACTCCACACTGAACACTAGTCAGGCTAAGGGCACATAAGTCCTAACCTTGACTCTCTACTTCCAAATGCCTTCCGCATCGTTCTTGCTGAGACCACCCCATCTCACCATTAAAACAACCAAGGCCCATGGCCCCCGGGTGGTTGAGTGTCCAACGCGATTTTGGCTCAGGTTGCGATCCCAGGGTCATGAGATCGAGCCCTGAGGCGGGCTGCGAGCATAGAGCCTGCCTGGGTCTCTCTCTCTCTCCCTCTGCCCCTCCCCCTGCTCGAGCTCTCCCTTGCTCTCTCTCTCAAAATAAAATACAAAACCCAAGGCCCAGCAGCGTTCTCGCGGCAGATGTGACGAGTGTTGCCCGTAGGAAGGTGGCGGTCAGCGCAACTCTCACCACCAAACTTCCACCCGTGCGGTGACCTGAGCGGACACTGAGCTGCTCCTGCCGCCGGACGCCCCTCCACCCTGAGGACACCCCTGCCGCCTCCTCCTGGCTCCATCCGCCATCCGCCACCACCGTAGCCAAGGCCATCAGCGTGCACGAGCTCCGCTCCCCCCGCTACCTACAATCATGCTGTCCCCCACCGGTGCACAACGTCCACCAGCTCTCCCCCCGGCTCCCCGCCGCACGGCCCTGCCTGAGCCTCCGGCTCTGTCCCGAGCGCAAGGCCCTCCGGCGCGGCTCATCCGAAGCCTGCTCTTCCTCGCGCCGCCCCTGCCCCCGCGCCGCCCCTGCCCCCGCGCCACAGAGGCCGTGCAGATGGCTCCCGTGCGACGGCGCGCTCTCCCACGCCCCAGCACCGGGGCCCGGGGGACTCAGCAGCAGGGCGGCTCAGAGCCACAGCAAGCAACCGCCCTCAGCACGAATAAGTGCCGTTTTAGGAAGAACCCTTAACTTACAAATACCCTTAGTTCTACACAAAGACTCAGCAGTTGGTAACGCTGTGTGCCAACTGAATTTCAATAAAAAATTCAAAAACCTTAGTGCTGACGTTTGACACTCGCCTCTAATATGGAATTCTTGTGAGGCTCGTTCACTTTCCCAGCCAGACAGCAGTGAGAGATGGCGTTGTGAATAATCGGCTTGTTTGATTTGCTACTGGGCTCCTTGAACAGCTTGGGACCTGTCAAACAGGCAAGACCACGACGTTAATCCCCGAAGATGCGCTCCAGGCGCACATGCACCAGAACCGACGGTCTCCCAGAGCCAAGCGGCAGCCAGCCTCCGTCAGCAAGGTCCAGCCACCCCAAGTCTGTTCGGAAGAATTCTCAACGACAAACTAAGAAAAAGATTAAGGTGGCTGTTAGTCTGTCCCTTTCTACTTTCTCTTTGATCCAAAAAAAAAAAGAAAAAGGAAACAGTAGGTTTTAAATTCTGAGGCTCCCCAGGACACAACACTCGTCGCGAGGCCGCGGGGACAGAAAGGCGCGTCACCCGCCATTGGGGTGGCCGGGGCCCAGCACGGCCCGCCCCACCCGGGCAAGGAGGTGCCCGTGCTCTCCACGGGGGGCGAGGCCGTTACCTGTGTACTCGGCCACGGAGGCGAGAGAGGACGCAGCGGACGCGGTTTCCCAGTCTCTGTCTGTGCTCCTGCTGGGGTTACGGCTCAGCGTGGGCAAGGCTTCCAGGGACTCAACTCTGCCGAAGGAAAGGGCGATGGGACAGGGAGGGTCACAGGCACCCCCTGGCGCCCCCATCCACACTGGCTGGTGGAACCCAGCCCCCCCACCATCGGGGCAGGGAAATCCGAGGTGGAGACTTCCGGCAACGCGGGAGCGGGGAGGTGCCTGTCGGTCCGCTCCGCCCTGGGGATCACAACGGTAAGCCTGGGCGAAATACAAAAGCCCGACACCTCAGGTGTGAGACAGTGACAAGAACAGACCCGCTAGAGGGACATCGGCCTCCACCAGAGGTCCGCCCAAAGGCTCCACCCCGGCAGCCGCACCGGGTCCCGCTGGCTCGGGAAGCTGGAGGACAAAGTCTGGGACACCGGTGCTGCCGACACTCGAGGGACGAGGCCTCGGACAGGGAGGAGGGAGGGAACACCGAGGGCTCAGTGCAAAACCCCGGGTCTCAACAACTCTGATCCCTGAGCTGCGTCCCCCAGGGCAGTGTCCACCCAGCACAGCGGAAGCCGGTGGCACCGAGGCTGCGTGAGCTGCTCGCAGAGGAGCAGGGGCTCAAATCTAAAGCCGGCCCCGGCGACCGACCGTTAGAACAAAACCCCGACTGGGATCTGGAGTCCCCGAGATGTGCCCCCCCCCCCCCCCGAGGCCCGGGTGACAGGAAGCTACCAGACATATGACGAGCAAGAACAAGGTGGCCACAGCCAGGAGAGGACGCTCACGGGGAGGACAAGAGGAGACAACAACACACGCAGACAGAGGGACGAGGCAACGGCAGTGGTTACTGACGCCCCTGAGCAAACGGTGGGATCGACCGTCGCCAGCATCTTCTCCCAGATCCCTTCTTAAGCACAAAGGAGTTTCCCGGGGCCAGCAGGACCCCTGCCCCCGCTGCTGGAACGGCCCAGTAAGGACACGCCTGACAGGCCGTGCCAAGCAACACACGCTCGCCAAAAACGCACAGCCTGAAGCTCGTCGGGGGGGAACCCTCGCTGGGGGCGGCCCGAGACAGCCGGCCTGGACTGTCAGAAGCATCAAGGTCAAGGGAGGGAGAGGAGGGCAGAGGCCGGTCTGGCCTAAGGAGGCACAGGATTCACGTGACGAGCGGTCCCAGCAGGGTCCTCACCCTCAAGGACGCCATGGGACAGCTGGTGACCACCGACAGGGGCTGTGGGCCCCAGGGAAGCGCAATCCAGGAACTGTGGGTATCTGGGGACACATCCTCGTTCACGGGGAAAGACACTCGGCTAAAGTCAAGGCTACAGAGCAAAAGGGCTCCAGCTCGGCGGCAGCAGCCGGCCGCGGAGAGATCGCCCCAGAACCACCGCACGCAACCCGCCGCCCCGCGCCCCGCTCCCCCTTACCGCTGGGAAGGCGTGCCCCCCGAGTGCACGCTCTCGGGCTCGGTGGTGGCCGCGGAGGCCAGGGACAGGCTGGAGCCCGACTGGGCGCGGCTCAGGTGATCAGCTGGCGAGACAAGGGAGCTGCTGCGAGGCCCGCCGGGGGCCGCCCTGCCCGCCGCAGCCGCCCTGCCCGCCCCGCCTGCTTACGGGTGGAGGAGCACTTGGTCCCCGAGTCACTGCACGACTCCTCCCGGTGGACGGACTTGGGCCGCGACTTCCGGGACTTGGCCTTCGGCTTCCCCAGCCCCTGCTCCTCCAAGATCTGCTGCTGCTTCCTGCGCAAATACTCCTGCTTGATGAGCTCCCGCCGCGCCTTCTCCTCCTCCTTCCGGATGCGCTCTTCCTCGGCTTTGCGCCTTCGGGACACACGCTCCCCTCAGGCGTGGGCGGCGGCCACCACGCCGGGTGTCCGTCTCGGACACCCCGTGCCCCCCCCCCCCCGCATCCAACTCTCCGCGCCCCCGCCCCCCCCCTCCCTGCATCCGACACCCCATGCCCCTGCCCCCCTCGCCCCCTTGCCCTGCCCCATGTCCCCGCATCCGACACCCCGTGCCCCCACACCCCCGCATCTGACACTCCGCGTCCCCACACCCCACACTCCGTGCCCCTGCACCCCTGAATCCTACACTCTGTGCCTCCCACACCCCAGATCCCTGTGCCCTGCACCCCTGCGACCCGCACCCCCACATCCCACACTTTGTGCCTCCGCAACCCTTACCCCTGCATCCAACACTCTGTGCCCCTGCACCCCTGCATCCGATTCTCCGTGCCCCCCGCACCCCACGACCCTGTGCCCTGTACCCCTGCGACCCACACCCCCATGTCCTTCACCCTGTGCCTCCGCATCCCACACCCCTGCATCGAACAGTCTGTGCCCCACACGCCCACATCTGACACTCCACGCCCCTGCACCCCACGCCCCCACACCTGCACGCACCTCCCCCAGTGGACACCCGGCACCCCTGCGGAGCCACGCGACCCCAGGGTGAGCACTGACAGCTCAGGGATGTTGTGCTGAATGAGAGGGATGAGTCCCAGAAGTGCCTCAGCCAGAGCTTGGCCTTGGGGCTGGGCGGGGGAGGCTGGGGCGTGGTAGCAAGGAAGGCGGGCTGACAGGGCAGAGGGCAGGGGCAGGGCGGGGAAGGGGCGGGCGCCAGCTTACCGGGCCTCGTCTCTCTTGAGCTCCACCTCCGCCTCCAGCTGCTGCTTCCGCACCTTCGCCTCCTCGGCCTTACGCTGCTGCTTCAGGAGGAAGGCCGCCCGCTTCTTGGCGAGCTCGTCCTCCGCCTTCTGCTCATCCTACGGAGCAGACAGCGCGCATCACACCGAGGGACACGGCCCTCCAGGCGCCCGCATGCACGTGTGCACGGAGAACACGCGTGTCCACCGTTCTCCCTGATGAATTAGCGGGGGTTTACAGACGCTAAGATACAAACGGAAACCAGTCCCAGAAACAGCCCCAACCTGGAGCGCCTAGGGGGCTCAGGTCACAATCTCCAGGTCTGTGCGTTCGAGTCCTACACCAGGCTCTGGGCTGACAGCTGGGAGCCTGGAACCTGCTTCAGATTCTGTGTCTCCCCCTCTCTCTGCCCCTCCCCCGCTCGCGCAGTGTCTCTCTCTCTCTCTCTCTCTCTCTCTCTCTCTCAAAAATAAACAAACATTTAAAAACAAAACAAAAAAAAGAAACAGCCCCAACCGGCCACCTTCCTCAATGTCTCCTACTGAAGCCAGTTTAGCCGCACGGCTGTGCCCCGGGTTTCCACACAGTGAGCTGACACCCAGATCGATATCCGTTCATTTACAGTTTGAAAGCATTAAAAACCAAACCCTGCTTCTTGCTTTTGGGAAAAGAGAAATCCTGTGCCCTGTGGGAGAAAGACCATGAAAAGAGAAAGGACTCCCCACCGTCTGTCTCTCTCCTCCACCTAAGGAAACATTATGAGAAAGGCAGAGACAGAAACAAAGCCCCCGGGGGAACGTGCCTCCGCCCGCCGTGGCTCTGACACGTGCAGGTCACACGGGATCCCCGAGTCGGGCCCAGGGCAGCAGCCTCGCCAGCACGCGGCCCCGATCGCACCTACAGGCCCTGCCCCACGTGCTTCCAACAGAGTCGGGTCCTTGCGACATGGGGTGGGGGGCTCGGATCCCTCCCTGGCCCTTCGGGGGGCGGTGGGGGAGGTCCGCCGGCCCCGCTCTGAGCGTAAGGTCCTGACCCGCCAGCTGAGAAGATGCCGGGAGCAGTTTACCTTGAAGAAGAAGCCGACCCCCGGCTTCTGGTCGCCTTCACTGGCGAGGTCCATGGCGCTCTGAGGGCCCTCTGTCTCCCCATCCTCGTCAGGGGCCTTCAGGTCCGAGAGGTCCACCTCGATGAGACTGGCCTTGCCTCTGGGGGCCTCATCCACAGGGACGTTCTCCTTCCCTGAGACCGAAGGGCAGCTGAGCCCCACCTCCTTCTCGCCGCTTTCCAGAACTTCTTTGAGGCTCATCTGTTCGGCCAGAATATTTGCGTCTTTGGAAGAAGACAAGACAAGAGTCCGCTGGTTGTTCTCGTCGTGGAGCCGGTAGCTGTCAAAGAAGTACTTCTCGGGAGGGTCACCGCCAGGCTCTGCAACACCGTCCCAGCCCGGGTCGGAGGGGGTGCGGGGCGGGCAGGGCCGCAGGTGCGGGAGGCTCTCCACGCTGGGCGTCGGGGTCTTGCTGCGGGAGGAAGCCTGCCGGTCCTTGGGGACTTTCAGCTCGGCCGGCCTCCCGGAGCGGGAATTCCGAGCCTGGCCGAGACGAGGAGGTTTGCGGTGAGCGGCCGTCCCGGGCGGGGAGAGCGGCTCCACAAAGTGGATGGCCGCGCGCACCTGCTGGTCTGGGCCGCCGTGCTTGGGGCCCGGGGCCGGGGCCGCGGGCGGCTTCATGAGCAGCTGCTCCTGCTGCTGCGAGATCCTCAGGATGGCCTGCTGCAGCGTGCTGATGGTCTCGTTCAGCTTCTCGATGGACAGGTCGCACTCGCTCGCGTCCACCGCCTGGCCGGCGTCCTCCAGCAGCGCGGCGGACAGCGCCCCGCTCTTCTCCAGCCCGTGAGGCGCGGCCGGGGCCGCCGCTTTATGCTGCAGGAAGACCGGGCTCTCGGCGTCCGCGTCCGGAGACTGCAGGGCGCCTTCCCTCCCCTCCTCCTTCGCGGCCAGCTCCTCCGTCCCGGAGGCCCCGTCGAAGTCCTCCCCGTCGTGCCGCGCACGCTCGCCCGCCGGGCGTCCGGGCTGGCGCGGCGGGGCGGCGCCGTCCGCCTTCCCCTTCTTGACCACGTGCAGGAAGGCGGCCTTCCCCAGCTTCAGCCGCTGCCGCGCGGACAGGGCCTCCACCTCCCTCTTCTGCGCCTCGATGGCCCTGCGCTTCTCCTCCAGCTGCATGTGCAGCTGCACCAGCTCGGATGCCAGGAGGCTGGCGTGGTCCGCGCTCTGCCCGCCCGGGCTCTGCTCCCTGCGCTGCTTCCACGTGGTCAGCGGGGCCGGGCAGCTCTCCGAGGCGTCCGGCGTGGTCTTCTGGGAGCTGCTGGTGCTGGACCTGGTCTCGCAGCTGTTGAGCCTCTGGAGCTTCCGCTCCGCGAAGCTCGTCATCTTCACGCTGCCGCTGGCCGCGGAGACGCCGCTGACCTGGGACACGGCGCTCAGACAGGGGCTCGAGCGGCCGCTGGCGTCGTCCTTGTCCTCGTGCTCCCTCACCTTCATGTCCTCCTGCAGCTTCGCCGACTCCTCCTCGCCGACGTACCCGGCCATCACCACGGGGTGGTCCTCGCCGACCAAGTCCTGCTCGGCTTCCTCCAGGTCTGCGACGTCAGAGTCCGAGTCCTGCCTCAGCATGGCCCACGGCTCGGGGTCGTGGGCGCCGGGGCTCCTGGCACAGCTGACGCAGAACCTGCCCTCCGCGTCGTCGGCGGCCCTGGCCACGTGGAGAAAGAAGCCGTCGGCAGACTGTCCCCGGGGTGACGGATCGAAATCACTCACCGCCTGCGGCCCCGTCTCAGCAGGCACAGGGTCCACGCCCGCTGGAGGTTCCGGACAGGAGATCGGGGTGAAAGTCCTGGTCGGGTCACGGCCGCCGTGACTGCTGGGCGCCCTCTTGCGCACCAGGGGCTGGTGGCCCTCGCTGGGTCTCTTAGAGGCGAAGCTCCGTGGCCGCCCCTCTCCACACTCGTCCTCCTTGGCGATCGCCTGCTTCTCCTTGGCCGGCCTAAGCACGGCCGGCATCAACGGCTCCAGGAAGAAAGTCTCAGGCTTCCTTTCTAGGGTGTCTGCCAATCTCTGGGGAGACCTGGCACTTGCGGGCAGGCCCCAGTCACCGCCATGGGGAGCCACGTCCGTTCTGATGACGGCCACGAGCTCTTCATCCTCGATGTGGACGTCGTTCAGGAGGCTTTTGCCATCGGTCTTCAGCGCTGCGGGCTGGGGCTGGTTCTGCGGAGTCAGGTTAATGACACCGGACGCCAGGCTATCCTTGCTGATGGAGCGGGCCAGGCTGACGCTGTCACCGGAGCCGGGGTCCAGGTCACAGCTGGCAGCGTGATGGAGAGCAAAGGGCGCTGGCTGAGACACAGGCCTGCAACGTGGGGAGAGAAGCCTGTTGGACACGCCACCGTCTATTCGAGAAGGGGACTCAAACACACGGAGAGACAAGGCACTAGTTACGAAAAGAGAGCACCGGCCTTACGTCTAGGGGATCTAAGCAAACCCTTCCCCGGAGCAGAGGACAACAGAGACCAGCTCAAGTGCGGCAGTTCCCAAACACTTAGGGGAACACTTGGTTTGCGCGTGAACAGGTCCCGGGACCTCTCTGTGCCCTTAAAAGCTGCCGAGGCCCTCAAAGAGTCTTCATCACACGCTCATTGAGTGCTCGCTCCGGCAGCACAGAAGCTAGTATTATATATCGATACCAACGTTTACAGTGCTGACGTTAGAGCTGAAACATTTCAAAAACAAAAAAAATTATGGCAAGAAAGCCATCCCGTGAGGTATGACCGACCGTATTTTCTAAACTGAAAAAGCTTATGTGGAGTGAAACACTCTCGTCATCCTCTCTGCCGTCTGCCTTGGGATTCGATCTGTCACAAGAATGAGAAAAACCGAGGAGAGGACACCCCAGCACTGTGAGGAAACGGTTCTGAGCCACGGACTCCCTGGGTGGGTCTCGGCGAGCCCGGTGGCCCCTGGACCCCCTCCGGAGAAGGGCAAGGTTAACCTGATGAACGTTTCACGCAGAAACTTCCTTGAAACACAGAGTTCACCTGTTCTGTTTTTCTGGCCATGCTACTGCTGCACCTCGTGGCTGGCCATCCACTCGGGTTAAAGAGTTGGACCGGTGTCGCTGATCTGCAGGGAGGAGGAAGCAGGGCGTTCGGTATTAAGCAGCTGACTTCGTAGCATCTCAGATTCTTGCAACCTAATACGGAAATTTCTCAAGGAAACGCACCATAATTCAGTATGCCAGAACTGCCCAAGAAAACCAATGACAACCACAGCACAGCCTTCAAGAGTTTCAGTAAGTAACACATGACTTAGTATTTAGTCCAAATCATGACATGAGACCATCGGACCTCTAACTAAACGTCCGTACGTGCAAGTCCTTGCTTATTAGGTACGACAGAACAATTTTCTGTATGCTTCACGTAATTAATGATACTTTCACCAGGGGTGCCTGGGTGGCTCAGTGGTTGGGCAGCTGACTTCAGCTCAGGTCATGATCTCCCGGCTCGCGGGTTCGAGCCCCGTGTTGGGCTCTGTGCTGACAGCTCAGAGCCTGGAGCCTGCCTTGGATTCTGTGTACCTCCCTCTCTCTGCCCCTCCCCCCGTCGTGCTCCGTCTCTCAAAAATAAATAAGTGTTTAAAAAAAAAACGAGGGGCGCCTGGGTGGCGCAGTCGGTTGAGCGTCCGACTTCAGCCAGGTCACGATCTCGCGGTCCGTGAGTTCGAGCCCCGCGTCGGGCTCTGGGCTGATGGCTCGGAGCCTGGAGCCTGTTTCTGATTCTGTGTCTCCCTCTCTCTCTGCCCCTCCCCCGTTCATGCTCTGTCTCTCTCTGTCCCAAAAATAAAATAAAAAACGTTGAAAAAAAAAAAATTTAAAAAAAAAACGATACTTTCACCACAAAGACTACACATTCTAGGAAACATCCACACAAATTAAAATTTTCCAGACTAGAATGACCAAATCAGAGTAGGAATATCCCCCCGAGGACCATCACCTAATGCATAGGCTGCAGGAGGAAGGACAAAAGACCAAGGCAGGTGCAGGGGACGTGTGCTCTTACCAGGAAGGCCCTCCCCCTGCGCGGTCTTCTGCTGTCTCTGTCTCAGAGGCAGTAAAGGGTGTGATGGGCTAAAGGCAGAGGCGCCTTTCCCCCTGAATGGGAAAGAACAGGAAAAGAGAATCACCAGTGTATCAGTCTTCAAGTTCAATGGCAAATGCATGTAATAAACCACAGAGAACAAACCACAGACAGAATCATGAATCACGGCAACATACGAGAAAATCACAGGTTCTTTGGGAAAAGTTAATTATTATAAAAATTAGCCAAGAGTACCAAGAACTTCAAACCCGGGATAAATATCCCAAAAGTGCCACTCGGGGACACAGTGGCGTGTGCAGACCCTCCCCTGCCTGGGGCTGCCGGAAGCAGAAGGCAAGCGGGGGGAGGCCTCCCACGGCCAACCCCCCCCCCACTTTCCCCATCACCCCTGAAGAACACGAACTGCGATTCTGAGTGCAAACTAACTGGAGAAGAGAAGCGGACGGGGACTCACAGGTGCTCGGGCTCCTCGGGGTGCAGGCGGTGCCTGTGGCCGCCTTCGGCTGGCAGGGCAGCGGGGGGCTGCAAGTCGGCCGGGCTCGCCGCCGCGGGGCTGCCCAGGAAGCTGCGCTTGGTGGCATTGGAGATGGGAACGGGAGGCCGACTACTCTTGTGGTGCGACACCGTTTTAGCTGCACAAATGGCAATTTACAGAAACGTCCGTGTTATTCGCAGTTACCGAAAACATTAGCAAGAAGCGCCTAAAAAATGAAACATCCCGCAGACTTCTCCCAAAACAAGACGACTGCCCAAAGTGAAAGCTGCAACACCGGCAGGGCGGGAACCAGCCGGCGGCCGCGACCACTAGCAGGGACACAGAGCCTCAGCCCAGAACCAGGGGTCCGGCGGTCAGGGGCACCCCAGGTCACCCACCCAAGTAAAACACAAACCACCACATCCCACAGCTCTCATGGGGAGGAGGGTTCTAGACGTGGCACGCTTTGACCTGGGGGGACACCCCGCCCGAGTGGCACACGGGCTCCGAAGGGGGTGCAGAGCAGCCAAGGGCCCCTCCACAGGCACCGCCACGCGGACTACAGGTCCCACTGGGAGACACGCAGAGGCGGACGATGGGCCCCTGCAGCCCCACGACGCCTGCTGACAGAAGAGAAGCCCAGGCCCACTTAACAGGTGGGGCAACTCTGAACGCGGACAGATGCCGCAGGCTGCTGCCAGCCGGCCTGTCGTCAGCCCCGCCACGCAGGCACGGTGCGCCCGCGCACGAAGGGGCCGGGGCAGGGCTGCACCTACACAGGGAGGCGAAAGGCAGGCTCCCCCGGGGCCGGCACAGAGCCCCTCAGAGGGACCGGTCCCCGAGAAGCCAGATGCCCACGTGGTGGCACGTCAAGTCTCTCAGACCCGCCGTGGGAGGACCGGTGACCCACTGAAGCAGACGGACACACGTCCCGCCTCGAGTCCGCCTTCCCGTCCGCAGGGCTCAGCCACGCCTGTAGCCCAAAGCGGCCAGCAGGTGCCCACGCCGCCCACGTGATGCCAGGGACGTGCCTTACAGCAGAGAGGCGCCAGGGTGGGTCGGTGACCCGTGAGCCCCGCCGTGCCCCCTTTCCCTGCCCTGCTGCCTCCAAGCCTCCCTCCCGCTGTGTCTGAAAAACCACCACCATCCTTCGGGGGGCAGCCCTTCCAGGCCAGAGCGCGCGTCGTCACCACACCCTGCAGCCAAATGCCACGAGTTTGCCCATCTCCGCCTCCAGCGCCGGCCCTGCTCCCAGGTGATGCTCAACACCTCGGGGTGAAACCCCAGGGGGGCGGGGGCGGTCGGAGACTCCCGGGAAGGCACTCAGGGTCCGGTGCACAGAGAGGGGTCATGTGCAGCACGCGACCTCACAGGACACAGTGGGAAGGAGAGCAACTGGGCAGGGACCAGGACGAGGCCCTCTGCAGAGGCAGAACAGGCAACCAGCCTCTCAACCAAGAGATGATAAGGTTCTTGAGCTGGGGAAGCCAGTGACAAGGACAGGGAAATGGACCCGCATTCCTCCCCAAGCCCTGGCACCGTTCGAGTAGCCTGCGGCCAACACGGCGGGGACATCTGTCGGTCACCGTTCCATTACCGATTAGGCGAAGCATCTCTGCGTGCATTTACTGGGCATTTGGAGCACCGCTTTATTGAAGTACCTGTGCAAGTCTTTTCCTTTTCTTCTGTTTGTTTTTTTTTTTTTTTTTCTCATTGGTATGAACAAGCTTTTTATACGATCTGGGTACTGAGTATACGCTCTGGGTACAGGTATCTGTCGTAAGTTCTAGGAGTGTCTTTTCCCCTTTATAGCTGGTTTTCTTTTTTTTAACTCTTTATCTCCCTTCAATGAAAACAAAGTCTCAATTTTAAGGTGTCTGTGTTACTGTTTCCTTTGTGGCTTTTTAGATTCTTTCTATGGAATCGCAAGGACATGAACACGTTCTTCCATACTGTCTTTTTTTTCCTTTTTAATGCGTATTTACTCTTGAGAGAGAGAGAAACAGCGCTGGAGCAGGGGAGGGGCAGAGAGAGAGGGAGACCCAGAATCCAAAGCAGGCTCCAGGCTCCGAGCTGGCAGCACAGAGCCCGATGCGGGGCTCAAACTCACGAGCCGTGAGAACATGACCTGAGCCAGTTGGACTTAACTGAGCTTAACCGACGGAGCCACCGAGGCACCCTTCCATACTATCTTCTGAAGTCCTTACAGACTTGTCCTTCCCCGTGGCAAACACAGTTTTTTCTGCCCCACAGACAAGACCAGAGCTGCATTCTTCGCAACCGAGGAGGCCAATCACTCTCCGAACGAGCCGGATTCTGATCTTACGGGACAAGCACAGGCCCAGAGCTGCACGCTGGGAAAAGCTCTAGGACAGGATGCGAGAGCTGCAGACACGCAGCTATGAGGACAGAGCAGGTCTCTGTATTCCCAGAGGAAACCACGTAAACGCCACTGACGATGACAAGGCGGAGACCCGTTAAGGGCGCCTCTGGAGCACTGTATTCGACATCTCTGGGAGGAAACGGCCATCGATTCCCAGAAGGTTTTCACTCACCGTCTTTCAGTTCCTGAACATCCCTGGGCTGAACGAAATCTGGTTTGACATTCTCAAACCACCAGAAGAGCTCGGCAATAAAAACCATAACGTTCGGCTGAAAGAAAACAAACAAAAACAGGGACACGGTAAATAGTTCATTCATCGATGGTTTTAAAAAATGTGTCTTTAATAATTCATGATTACCTTCAACACTAAGGGAGCATACAGCATGTCTTCTAAGGTGAGATAAAAGCATTTGTTAAGATACTCATTCGAGAACTCCCTCAGAAGCCGAATATTATACAGACTGTCAGCCATCGACGTTACCTCCTTCAAGCATATATCTGAAGAGAAATATACGGAAATATATCTGAAGAGAAAACTACAGTTTATCATACACACGCTGCTTCACAAGTGTTTGCATTTACATATGCGTATATATGTGTCTGTATATATATGGGTGTGTATACACACACACACACACACACACACACACACACACGTGTATATATACACATAATTTGAAATGAAAACATTTTAAATGAAGGGAAGAGTGATGTTTAAAAGGATAACATTAAGACATTTAAACACTGTAATAAGTAGAACAAGTAACAAGAAACACAGAAAAGAAAGTAAGCACTCAAGAAAAAGACCGGAGAATCTCTAGGGTCTGAATTTAGTTGTTAACATCTAAAAAAGCATACCAGAAACTTTGAGATCTTAAGCCTGCGGTTCCAGAATGGAGAGTACCGTCACTTTTCAGTTTATAAAGGACATTGCTGCATAAAGCTGTTAACATTTTACCAAGTTTCTTGCACCAGCTGGACCCCTTGCATGAGGTCATCTCCACTGTGGGGGCGGGGGGGGGGGGGGGCAGGCTACCCAAGGAGTAGTCCAGAATACCACTGTTCCCCCCAAACCAGGAGACGACGCGTAGCAGAGGTCTCCCTCCATGAAAGAGGCTGGGGACGGCTGGTCGGCGGCATCTGGGGCGCTGCTCTGCAGGCTGGTGGCGCCCCCACCGGACCAGCACCGCCAGACAGCCTCACGCAGCTCAGACTAAAACGGAAGGAGCCGTGCAGATGACTTGAAAGAACTCTGCCTACCAATACACCTAAGTAAGAAAAGAACCGATTTAAAAATAATTTTTTAAAATAATTTTATTCTTCAGAAGAAATCACCGGGAAGAGTTCAGAAGCACAGATTACATTTGTGGTGCCCCAAATTCACGACGACGAAGTCAGTCCTCCGCCGCGTCCTGCACGATCAACACAAAACAGTGTTCTAAGCGGACTGACTACGCACTGACACGGCTAACGGGCGGAGTGACTCCGCGCCCGGGCACCGCTAACAGCTGCTTCCTTACTTTACGCTCTGATTATGAAACATTACAGACATCGGGATCAGACTCCCAAGGATCATCTGCTCAGACGGAAGCGTTAGCACCACACCTTATCTGATTCAGATCTCTTCCTTCAGTAATGAGATGGCACAGCACCCGCACCCCCACGGCAAGGCTCTCCTCCGCCGGAGACCGCTGCCCGCTCGCGGTCCGCGCGGCCACGGACGGTGCGCGTCCACAAACACTACCCTCTGGACCTGGCTCTCTTGAACCTATGCTCGCCATCCCACACTGCGCCTCCCGTTTGCAGCCTGTCCGTCCCCCAAACTCAGCGCTGTGTCCAAGTCCGTGTACGTTGATGGAGGTAGATTCCAGGTGTTCGTCTGAACAGCTGGACAGCGCTCCACAGTTTGCACTCTTGCACGCGAGAACCAAATCTGCATGTGCCCTCTGCGCCCCGCACACCCGGCCGCCCGGTGCTGGCAGCCCTGTGGGTCGCTGCCAGTTGGATGGGGGTGAGACGCCCCCTCGTGAAGCAGCACGTCCGTGACCACGGGCACAGTGTCACTCTCCACTTCTGCTTCTGCAACAAGCCTGTTCTCAGTCTGTCTCTAGGTTGTTCAACTTCGTCTAATTTGTACAAATTCTTTACCTGTTATGGCCACAAAACGGTCGTGTGACGGTCCTTTGTCAATGTGTGTTCGTTCCAAATACTTTTCCATGGATGTAGCTTGTCCTTTAATTTTCACACAGTTCCTCCGTCAGCACGCCGAATTCTCGTGTGGTTAAATGTAATAAAAGCTTTTCTATCGCTTGTGCTTTTCTTCTTGTAATTTCAGGAATCCATCCCAACACCAATGTCCTAAAGGTATTTTCCCGTGTTTTCCTCTCAAAATTACTATGTTTTGCTTTTCAGGCAGAGATCTGTCACCCAAAGCAGGGACGCCCATCTCATGTGGACTGAAGCCAGATGGCCACTCGTCCACAGTGCTGTGCGCCCCGGAACGTCGCTGGCCAGGCTCCTTCGGGCCACATGACTCTCCGGGGCCCAAACCACAGCAGTTTAGCCAAAGTAAAGTTAAACCAAACTTGGTCTTTGTCAAGCCAAGTACCCACACTCTCATTCTTCAAAATCACCTTGCCCGAAACCGGCACTAATCTACAACAAAACAGTGAACACGTGGGTTCTCATCCGCTGAACAGACAAGAAGCCACGGGGCCCTCGTGGTGTAAACCAACCCAAGAACAAGTGGCAAGAAGGCACCCCACTCCCTTGCGGTGACAGGCCAGCTGATAAAGAGGAGGAGGACAGGGCGAGCAAACTCCCCATGGACGGGACCACCAGCAGGTCAAAGTCTGCTGGGAAACGGGCTGTTTGTTCAGTCTCAGAGCCAGTTCCCCAAATGACGAGAAAGCGAAAACCAGCGACCTCAGACTGGAGAAGCCCAGCGACACGGCCTGAGCCAAGGGCGCCCCGACCTCACGTCCCCAGTCAAATGCACCGGGACGGTGCATCGCTTTGGAGACACTCTTGCCAGCCCTGAATCTAATCAGAGACAGACCCAAACGGGGACATCCGACAAACCAAATGGCCCGTACTCTTCACAAGGCCGAAGCCAAGAAAGACAAGAATGACGGAACCGCCTGACAGCCACCTAGAGGGAGTAAAGCCGGGCCACAACCAGCAGTGGGAGCAACGGCCACAAAGGACACTACTGGGACAAGTGACAAACCGCTCGGACCGCGAGTCAGTGCCGCGTCGCCGTTAACTTCCCCGGTGTTCGCGGCGATCAGAGAGTGCCTTTATCCCCCAGGTTGTTCTCAGACGGCTCAGAGGCAGAAAGAGAGGTCATGTGACAAAATGTAACAACAGGGGCATGTGGATAAACGTACAGCCAAGAATGCCTTCTACGTTCTTCTGTAAACATAAACACACCCAAATAAAATGTTACAGGGGTTAATTTCATCCCTTAGGCCTTTACTCTTCCACATGAATTTTTACCTTACTTTGTCCATTTCTGTTAAAAAAAAAAAAAAATTATGTATTGGGCTGGCAATAAATGAACAAAGGAAATCACAATTTTTATACTGATTATCAGCATCTGAGAAAACAGCTTAGATCTTCTTCCAAGGACGACAAACAGGTCCTCCTTTATCCAGGACTCACGGCGAGCTGCTGCGGGGAGCAGGGCAGGGGCAGGAAGGGCCCGACGTCGGAAGGCAAAGGCGCCGAGCCTGACCCCCACGTGGGAGCGCGTCCACGGCAGCAGGGGCCGGGGCCTTGGTGGGTGGCATCGAGGCAGCAGCAGGCCGACAGCTTCCGGCACACGTGGGCAGTGGCTCCTAACATGCAGTTTCCTGTACATGTCGTAGGCGTCCAGGGTAAGTCCTCCCACCTTCCTGTCCCGTCTTCCTGGACTGAGCCTCTCGCTTTTCCGCCTCTTCTCTCCCATTGTCCATTCTGCTTGTTATTTATTTATTTTTTTAATTTTTTTTTTTCAACATTTATTTATTTTTGGGACAGAGAGAGACAGAGCATGAACGGGGGAGGGGCAGAGAGAGAGGGAGACACAGAATCGGAAACAGGCTCCAGGCTCTGAGCCATCAGCCCAGAGCCCGACGCGGGGCTCGAACTCACGGACCGCGAGATCGTGACCTGGCTGAAGTCGGACGCTTAACCGACTGCACCACCCAGGCGCCCCCCCATTCTGCTTTTTAGATGTCCTTTCCGGGAGATTTCTTCAAAGCCGTCATCTAACGCTTCAGTAAACTCTTAATTTATTTATTTTGAGAGACAGAGACAGACAGACAGAGATCGAGCAGGGGAGTGACCGAGAGGGAGCGAGAGAATCCCAAGCAGGATCCACACTGACAGTGCAGAAGAGTCTGACACAGGGCCTGAACCCAAAACCACGGGACCGTGACCCGAGCCGAAGTTAGACACTCAACCGACGGAGCCACCCAGGCGCCCCACGCACCTCCGTGAACTCTTAAATTTCAGCAGCCACGTTTTCTCTCCACGGGCCCGTTTCTGCCCAGTTACGGCGCACCTCCGTCCAGGACACCGTGTTCCAGACGCTCTCTTCCAGCGCCCAGTCCGTGGCCACCGTCCTCTCTCATCTCCACGGTCTTCCCCACTCACCTGCGGGGCCCCTGCGGACTTGGCCTCGTGTTCACACCGGTGCCTTCCTCAAGTGTCGGGGGATCCGTGGCCACCCAGAGTCGAGCGCGGGGCACCGGGACGTGGGCCTCACGGTAGGGGGGCGGGCGGCGGCAGGGGTCTCAGTGATGGCCGCCCAAGGGCAGCGGCTGTGTGTCTTTGCCCGAGGCCAGATTCTGCAGAGAAGCGTCCTTCCCGGTTTTTTAGCACCGCATATCCACTTACTTAGTCAACGACACAAAGTCGGTAAGACGACACGAAACGAGATATAAAACACGCTCCCTTGAAAAATCACTAACACGAAGAAACGCTGGTAAAAAGCAAAGGTCTTCAAGCACCTTCGTTCGTTCCACTTGAGACGGCGAGAGCAAGCAGGAGCCACGGGAGACGAGCTGATACCCCTCACACGTCAGGAGTGTCACACAGCAGTCCGGCGGCCACACACGTTAGGAAACGCTCACCGCGTAGGTGCGCTCACGTCTGCCACCGGACGAAGTCGCTCCGATACCGCGATCGTCCCCGTGCCCCTCGTCCTGTGGCTTGTTCTGTGCCCCTTCACCCTCCGGCTCTTTTGTCCGCGCCCGCCCACCCCACAACGACCAGTTCGTTCTCTGCATTTACGGCGACTTCGGCTTTGCTCTTTACACGCTCCACACACATGAAATCGCACACTATTTATCTTTATTATTTCTTTTTTATTATTTCACTCAGCCCAACAGCCTCCAGGTCCGCCCACGCGGTCGCAGGTGGCAGGGTTCCGCTCTTTCTCGTGGCCGCCCGATATTCCACTGCGTTCATGAACCAAGTCCTCTCTACCCGTCAGTGACTCCTTCCCCGGCTGGAATGTACGCAGCCTCCTGGGGCAGGCGGACGGAGATCAGGCTCGCCTCCCAGCGTGAAGAATTTTACACAGAGCACCGATGCGGGGATCACCTCGTACCTGCCGGGCCGTGTGCGACACGTCTGGGACTCGAGCCGTCTGGCTCAGCTGCCCCAGGAGCGCGGGCCCATCTCTGAGGCGTGTGGGGAGGAGGTCACCGCGGTGTCCCACGCCCCGGGCGCGTCCGTTCCCCGGCGTCTGCGGGATTCCGCGGGAGCGAGCCGGCCTGCTGCCCTGGCACGAGCCCCCTGCCCTCCTCACCGCTCCCTCACGAGGTGCCGGCCGCTCCGAGACCAGACGTGCCCCGTCTCCTCCCAGACGGAGCCTGCGCTTCAGCCCCTTCCTGGTGTCGTGATCTCCGACTGGCGGGAGAGAGAAGACCACCCCCCCACTCTCCTCCCTTCAGCGTTCTTTGGCTTTACCTCTTTTCTACCGCACGAGATGAGCCGAGTTCGCGCTCACTTTCCAGAACGTGCCCCGAGGCCACCGGCTCTGGCGTGCGTGGTGCTCGCCCATTATGCAGCCAGTTGTCTCCTCAACACCGGCGTGTCCCGGGCGCCAGGTCTGCTGGCTGGGACGCGTCCCTGAACAAAACGGATGAAAACCCTGCCCCTCGTGCAGCCCGCGCTAGACGACTGCGCCGAGCCTGCGACTCTGAGCCACAAGCACGTGACAGCAACCTCTTTGGTCTCCGAGCATTGAAGAGTTGAGAGGTTTGGAGAAAGACTTCGCGCTCTGCCGCGCCGCGGGAAACCTGTCGTGGTCTGCGAGCTGCTGAGGCTTCTTCTAGGGCCACGGTCAAGTCCACTTTTTACACACGCTTCCGGGCTCGGCTATTCTCGAAGAGCGGACGGCCTCGCGGTCGGCACGCTGGCCCACGCCCGTGACTCTCGCGTTCCACATCCCGTGGCCTTCCTCCACTCGTACCTGCTTCGTCAGCCAGGCCCCGTGACCGAGCTCGGGAGTGAGCCCGCTCGCTGCTCCTGAACGTCCGTCGTGTTTCTGACCTGCCGGCGTGCCAGGGCCAGACGCGACGAGGCCTGACACGCCACCACGTCCTTGCGGGCTATTCCTCCTCTTTCGTTAAGGACCCCCTCCTGCCAGGAGTCTGCTTTGTCTAAAGACCCCCGACAGATCGGCCAGAGGCGACTGGCGGCAGGAACCGCCCAACCTGGCGAACCGCAGGCAGACCTGGGCAATACCGAGGACGCAGAGGACAACAGAACCAGGTGCTGAGGGCCCCGGAAAGTTCCATCACACGTTCAACAAGCTCGTTCCCCTGTCTTAGTGTTCCCACCGCCTCCCTCCCGTCCGCCGTCACCGCGAGCATCCGGTGTCTCCTTCCAACATCCTTTCCGCCCACGCCCGGGGGCCAGGCCCGTCTGTCACCTCTGCTGGTTCTGCGCAGGCTGTCGGCCCACGTGGTCCTCCTTTCCCACTGGGCTCACGCGCAGCGGCCGGGGCACCCCCCCCATACAGCAGACCTCCCTCCTGCCGTGACCCAGGGCTTCCACTAGTGCGACACTCAGTTCCACGAGAACCTTCCCCTCGCCACACGGGCAGCGACTAGTTCAGCCGCTCCCCGTCCGTGATGCGGTCTGGCAGCTCTGTCTCCTCAAGAAAGATCCCTGGCCCGGGGCCCGGGGCCCCTGGCATCCGACGCATCTCCGGCATCTTTCCCAGGCCGGCAGGTGGGCCTTTCCTAGCCCTGCCCGGGGTCCTGGTCACTGCCCCCAACCACACGCAGCCCCAAGGCTAGAGGGGCACCGGAGGCCAGACAGGCCTCGGGGCAAACGGGTGGCAACTCGGGACTGGCACTCCAGAGCAGAGACCCTCTGGAACCTGAGCCTCTCCCGCTCCCTCAAGTTCTGCTGTCGTTCTCTTTATGAAAGACGCTCTATCCAGCACTCTTGTACTCGGAGCAGGACCGACCCCTGCTCCGTCCTCTGGTGCCAGGATCTAAGACAAGTATTTCACGGGCGGGGGAGTCGTCTGGCCGTGCTCTTGGCCCGTACCTCCCTCCTTCAGAAAGAGGGACGCTCAGCACAAGGTAAACCCGAATTCCCGTTCCCGGGGCCCCGCACGCGGCCACTGTCGGGCAGAGAGCGCCTCAGACACACGCTGGCACCGGCACCACTCGTGCACGAGCCACTCGGAGACGGACTCCACACCTTCCCAGCCCCCAAGCAGCTTCTAGGTGCTTTACATCAGCTGTAGCGGGATGGACAAAGTCCTCCCCGTTCTGAAACCTAAGAGAAGTCACGTACACTCAACACTCTACAATTTCTTCACGAGATACGGCTGCAGGTTAAGCGTTGAGCACACGACCCGCTAACGTCCCAGCTGGCGTCTCAGCGAGCCACTTCCCAGGCTTTGGCGCGCGTGCATCAGGCTGCACGTGACGCTGCCCGGGCCTCGCGCCCACCCCGGGGGGCGCTCCGCACTCACCATCCAGCTTCATCTGCTCCGGGCAGTAGTAGTGGACCACGGCCAGGAGGGCGGCCCCGTCACTGCCGTCTCTCATCAGGTCCTCCAGCAGCGGGAAGTAGGGCGGCTGCCTCGCGGACAGGTGCTCTCGGCGATAGCGCACCTGCGGGCAAAAGGAGGAGAACGGTCCACGCGTGACGTGCCTCCACGACCCCGGCCGCTACGGGCAGGCCGTTAGATCTAGAACTGCCCCGATGCCCGCGGGATGATGTTTCGAACAATGGCGATCATATGGAAAAGCTCACACGCCCGGGTGACGTACTCGGCCTTGGACACACACGTCAAGATCCAGGGAACTGAGCGCCACGGCCACACTTGGGGGACAGCAGTTAGCTGCTAACGGTGCCACGCTGTCCCACGCTACAGGGCGCGTGAGACCGGATACGGAACGTGTGGCTACGCGACCAAAAGCCGCATCCTCTGAGCAAGCGAGAAACAAGTTAAGCAGTGACCGCCCTAATGCTCCGAAGACCCACCTGACTGTTCCTTTCCTCCGCATCATCGGCACGAACCTCAGCCAGTAAGAAAAATGCACAACAACGTTAACGTCTGGTCTGAGAAACTCCCCAAACCGGTTCGACAAAATTTCATAGAAAACATCCACCAGACCCTTTAATAACTGCAACGAAGCGTCAGGAAACCGAATGCACGCGAGGTGCCACGTAAAACAGGTGCTTTTCCAAGGTTTCCACACTTGCGCCTCTGGAGGGCAGGGTACGCACGCCACCCCGAGCCTCTCCGCGCGCCCCCGCGGCACCACGCCAGGTTCCGAGTGTGCAGACACGCAAGCCGTCCGGGGAAGGGGGGGCCTGTCCCAGACGTCCTGCCGCGCACTCAGTCCCTCCTGCGTTAACGCTTCCGGTCTGGACGCGCCTTCTCCAGCGGGAGAAAATACACGACAGAAGCAGGAGAGAGGAAACCAGCAGTCTGTGCTGACGACTGTGGGTCGCTGAGAGCTGCACAGACGGGCTCAGCCCGCAGAAAAACCATCTCTCGGCAGTCGAGAATTTAAAGTCGTCTGAATAAACACACAGGGTAATCGATGCTGGGATCGGGTATAAAACACGCCTAACGCATTCTTTCAAAACGGGAATGCGGTTTATTCTGTGTCACTCAAGTCTGTGTTGACGGAGACCTTAACTTGTTTCTCGAGGCCCGCGGCGGGCCCGGGGTGCGGCATGCAGGGCGTGGGGCATGCTCCAGGCCAGGCTTCCACACAGACCACACGGCACACATGGGACGGAGCACGGCATGCGGTGAAGCAAATGGTTTCTCCACTGAGCACAGATGGCATGTGTGTAACTAAAATCAGGGGACACAGCTGAACTCCGGGGCCCAGGGAGCCCGTGTAGGACCTTCGAGTCAGGTTCCTAAAACCTCCAGGCTGCAGAGCAGCGGGCTGAACCATCCACGCCTGCCGGCCTGGCCACACCCGCCCGTGCTCATCCTCACTGGCCCGTGTGCCGTGCGCTGGAGGCACAGCCATGGCCACCAGCGTCTCCAAGGAGACCTGGACGCTCACTGCCCTTGGTCACGGTTTTCAGCTTCTACAAACCCCTCCGCTGAGACTTTGCTTCCTACAGGACAGCTCCACTTCTGACGCTCTCTTCACTAAATAACACAAGTTCATACTTAGCGCTGTGGCCTTCAGGATTCGGGAAGTTAAGAGACACGTAAAGATTCACAAAAATGCTTTCCTCTTCTTTGTTACCGATCCATCTCAAAGAGAAGCAAAATTATCCACAAAGCTGGCCACAAAGCAGAACATGTCACTGCTCACGTGGGTCGGATTTACCAGCTTAGAGCCGTGGTATTTCCTTTATGATAAAACTCTAAGGATAACCTGGTCTGGGTAATTAAACTAAAGGAACAGACAACTGAAGGGGTGTGCAAAAAGGTGTGTTCTAAGACTTCACTGCAAAATGCACCCCTTGGAGTAGCCGGTGTTTTTCCACAGGAATGGCGTTAGCACGCTGGTTCTGCTCCCAGAATGCACCACCAGGTGGGGAGCACAGCTAACGTGGTAGGTCCAAGTCACTAGCTCGTAACTTTCCTTTTACAGGAAGTTAACTTGGATCCCAGAAAGCCTGCATCCACGCTGACCTAACCCAGACCCTTCGCCCACCCCGGGCAGGTGGGCGGGCAGCAGGGGTGGTCCCAACACCCAGGGAGCTGTCCCTAGAGACAGAAGCCCCTCCCTCCCTTCCACAAGGCCCTTCGTCCTCGGACGACCCACATGACACTTCCTGAGAGAGATGGCATTAAATACCACCATCAGGGAAGGTAACATCAGGACAAAAAACGTAGACAGTAACTTGGGAAATGTGACTAGTCTCATTCCCTCCTTCCCTCCGGTGTCTGCGAGAAGACAGAATGTACGTTCGTTCTCCTCTAAAGAGTAACTAAGTGTCCGTAAGAAGAAACACAACCCTCAGTCTCTAAAGTTACCTAAGAAACCTGGCAAAACCAAAGTGGGCGCGTCTACGGAAAGCCTGCTGAGCCCAGAATCGCATTCTCGCTAGTACTGCAGGAAAGTGACAACAATACCAAGGAGGACATTGGACAAAAGAGGCAGGTTCAGGTGTGAGCAGCTGTTTAATGGAAGCGGGTGATTGCGACAGGATGGCCGTCTGGATGCAGCGGGTGCGCGGAGGTCACTTACGGGCACTAACTTCCAGTACCACTTGGAGGGGGACTGCGCGGGAAGCAGGGAAGGAAGGCAGGAGACGGTGTCAGCGGGCGGGCCGCGTCCGGACCGCGTCACGCACACTTTCACACAATATTCACAGGAGAGCCGGGTGTCCTCTGACAAGTGAGACCCGCCCAGGGCACATGACCTGGATGCCCTGCATCGTCGCACGACCGAGGCGGAGGGGACACAGGCACCTCCGCGGGACGCTCGGCGTGGACCGGCCACCACAAAGGACAGCTGCCAACTGCAACTCGGGGGGTGCCAGGCGTGTCCCCTGTGCCCACGTGACGGACAAGGAGGCTCACAGACATGCGGCCCGGGGTGTGCTGCCCACGGCCTCCCCCCCCCGCCCCCCCCCCCCGCCCCCCCCACCGCCGGCAGTGAGAGGACCAGGTAAGGGATCGCAAGAGACCGCAGACGTGGCCGGGTCCTATCTCATGCGCATTAGGGGATGGGGATTCGGTCACACACCCGCTTGGCAAAAAACCACGATCACAGGGGAAGGAAAGGGCGGAAATGACCAGGACGCATAGCGCACCACCTGGGTCATTTCCACATCCACGTGCCTGGATTCCACGCAGGCTCGCAGAGGCGCTCCAGCGGCTACGCTGGACCTCACGGGGGACAGACGTGGTTTTCGAGGGCACCCTGGACAGGAGGCAATTTCCTCCCCGTTTGGCGAATCTAGAAGCCAATTCCCGGGTTGTCCCGGATGCCCCGCCTCCTCGAGCTTCAATGCGCCCGACCTCTCCCTCACCCTCCCCAGTCAAATACAAGGCCACCCCCGTGCAGGGAGGAAAGAGGAGCACACGGTCACGCCCACCACCAGGGCCACTGGGCGGAGACCTGGGAACGCCCTCCGGGCCGAGCACAAATAGAGGAAGCGAGTGGCGGACTCGGACAAACTTCGTGACAACCGCGAGCGTCACCAGACGCGTTCCGGGGGGGTTAAGGGCACCCTTTACCTTTTGATGAGCCGGACTTTCCAATAACTGCTGTTTTAGCTTGACTTCTTTCTCTGTTATCTCTCTCATTTTAAGGTTTACCTGAAGCAGAAAAAAATGCATTAAAAAGGTAACAACTTTCTCTGTGGGTTGTATCGGTAGCTTCACCTCCCACCCAGAGAGCCCACCTCGCTCGTTTGCAGTCGGACTCTCAGACGCAGGTTGAGAATAAGTGGTTTCGGCCAATTACACAGATGCAGAAATACACGCATTCCACACGGTCTGTGCTGGGCGAGACCCCAGAGCTGGCCCGCAGTTCCAGGACACACTCTGTGCCTCCGCACGCAGGCCACGCTCGTGGCCGCCCACAACAGGGCCAATGAGCCACGCCACCGAATGCCCGGGGTGCTCAAACAGCGCGAGCTGCCACCATCAGCAAATGCCGCCGGTAAGACAGTGTGGGGCAGACGCTCCCGCCCAGGGCCTAGGGGGTGGCTCGCATGTTCCCTGACCGTTCAAAAGTAACACCAGATAAACTTCAATCGTAAAATGTAACCATGCGCTCCCTAGCTAACACGACTTCTTAGAACTTACCCTCTCCTGGAATGATGAACCCAACGATAAAATCAAAACTACAATTACAAAGTAACACCATGAGGAAAGACACTCATCAATGCTTCAAGGACACGGTCAAAGCTATGAGATGAAAAGGCACAGAACCGAATGTTTTACTGAACAAGAATACACATAAACGAACTCATGCAAATCGAATCAAGAAGGTAGAAAATTTGTTTTGAAAATACGGTAAAAGGAAAATCAATACAGATAAATTTTAAAACAAATGAATCAGAATAGATAGTGGGGGTGCCTGGGGGGCTCTGTCGGTGGAGCGTCCTCCTTCGGCTGAGGCCATGGTCTCGCGGTTCGTGGGTCCAAGCCCCGCGTCAGGCTCTGTGCTGACGGCTCGGAGCCTGAAGCCCGCTTCGGATGCTGGGTCTCCCTCTCTCTCTGCCCCTCCCCCGCTCACACTCTTTTTCTCAAAAACAGGTATTCAAAAAATTCTTCTTTGAAGGATAGACAGATGGATAATATAGCAAGTATTATAAAACATTATTTGTAAAATCTGGGTGGTAGGCACATTCATGTTCTCTGTGTATCTCTTCATGTTCCGCAATTTTTCACAATAAAACCTTTTCACACGATGTGTTTCTGTCATATGCGAGAGAGTTTTCTAATACGGAAAAGGATTTTCCGATTAGATTGATGGCGATACCAACGAATGTAATCTTTGATACCGTTCATGAAACGTGACGACGTCACAAAGATCTACACAACCCTCCCTGAAACTATTTTCCGAATGACCAATGTGCGACGTTACCAAGACACGGGGACTAAAAGAGCCAGGAAGGACACAAGAGCCACAAGTGGACTTTACTATCACCGAGGACAAAGGTCATGGAGTTAGTATCCACAACATGCAGAAGAATTGTCCTAACAATAAAAAGACAGAGGATCTGAAAAGGTGTCTCTCCGGAGGAGACGTGCAGGTGGCCACGCGCACGAACTCGCGGGGGCTCCCCCCGAAGGAGATTCGCACGAACTCGCGGGGGCTCCCCACCGAAGGAGATTCGAACCTGAACCGCAAGACAACACCTCACGCCCTCCAGAACGGCTAGAATCAGACAATCAGAAAGCAAGCGTCCGTGAGGACGTGGGACACTGGAGACCGGAGACACCGCCGAAAAGGTAAGAAATGGCGAGGCTGCTCTTCAAAAAGGTCAAGTTTCCACACGCTTCGGCGATCCCATCCCCAAACACCCAAGAAACAGGACAGCACAGCACACAAACCTCGCCCACAACGACCACAGCAGCATCCACGAGGGCCGAGGACGGGCACAAGCGTCCCCCGGCCGAGGAGCGGCACGTCCGCCACACGAGGGAGCGGAGCACCGTCGCGGGCTACGACACGCTCCGGCACGGGTGACAGCTGAAAACGCAACGCTGAGTGCGGGCGGCCAGACGCAAAAGGCTACCAAGCGTAGGATCGCGCTGACCCGAAATGCCACGGTCAGCAAGGGTGCAGACAGGAGGCAGACCCGGGGCGGCCAGGGGCCGGGGCGGGGATGGGCAGTGAGTGCCGACGGGAACTCTCCGGATGTGATCAGAACGTTTGGAACTGGCGATGACAGCTGTACAACTTTGTGAATATAGCAAACACCACTGAACTGGAGACTTCAAAATACTGCATTTTATAACCTCAATCTTATCCCAAAATTTTTTAAGGAGCTGATAAGAGTTTCAAGTTCCCTACTGCAATTAACCTCTGAGAAACTACTACCTGTCAAGTTTTGGTGTCGAATCAAAAGCAAACGAGCACGCGGACTTGCAGGGAAGAGGGAGGAGCGGGGCGGCCCTAAGTCCCCCGCTCGTCAGTGCAGACGGCCCAGAAAACGGCCCGCAGACCGGCAGGACAGACCCCACGGCTAACCATGCAGAAGCGGCCGCTTGGACATCAGAAGGGAGGACGGCATTCCGCCGCACTGTAGTCTCAACAGAACGTAACGGCGCTCACTCTCCCACCCACACGTACTTAGGAAGCCAGACCATCTTCGCGTGTTCCCACGCAAACGCTCTGGAAAGGCAGGCAAGAGAGTCCGGCTTCCCTTGCAGTAAGCCAGATATTAAAGAATCGTACAAATTTGTAAAATACCATTTCCTCTTTCAGAAAATATAGTTATTTTTGGTAAAAAAAAAAAAAAAGAAAAAAAAAGGAATACGTTATTTATATTAATACGAAACGAGTTTTGTTATTTTTAAGCAAATTAATAAAAATTTTAAATTTTGTGGTTTTTTTAATGTTTATTTTTGAGAGAGAGAGTGTGAGTGGCAGAGGGGCAGAGAGAGAAGGAGACACAGAATCCGAAGCAGGCTCCAGGCTCTGAGCTGTCAGCACAGAGCCCGACGCGGGGCTCGAACCCACGAAGCCAAACTCAATGCTTAACCAACTGAGCCACCCGGGCGCCCCAATGTTTATTTATTTTTGAGTGACAGACAGACAGAGCATGAGTGGGGAGGGGCAGAGAGAGGGGGACACGGAACCCGAAACGGGCTCCGGGCTCCCAGCTGTCAGCACAGAGCCCGACGCGGGGCTCGAGCCCACGAACCGCGAGATCATGACCTGAGCCGAAGTCGGACGCTTAGCCGACTGAGCCACCCAGGCGCCCCTAAATTTTCTTGTTTTTAATGTCTAATATGATAAATACTGACAGATTAACTTTTTTTAATTCTTGATAATCCAGTTTTTTTAAGAGTGTAAAAGGGGACCTAAGACCAAAAGTTTGAGAGCTCCTTACCTACGCAGAGGAACGAAGGGGAACAGAAATGGAAACTATGTGGATAAACGTCCCCTAGTTCCAGTCACCTTAAAACACGCCTAACCGGACAAGCGCTGAGAACACAAGTCCCGTGATTTCGCTGAGGCTGCAGCAAAGCAGGCGGCAGTGGCACAGCGGCCAGGGAGGCAGAGGTCATCGCCGATGAGCCGAGGGACACGGCATCACCCTGCCTGAGGGCAGACGGTGGGGACTAAAGCCTGGACCAGCCCCAAGAACTCCCGGAGAGAAGGGAGTGCCAAAAGATGCCCAGCCTAAAATCAGCCAGAAGAGAAGGGAGAAGAAGACAAAATGGGACGGATGGAAAGCCGACAGCACGTCGGCCCGAGAGACCTCAACCGTCACGTTAAATAGAACTGGTCTAAACAACAAGGCAGATTCTCGGACTGAATAAAAGAGCAGGGCCAACTCCACAGGGTCCGCAGGAAACTCGCGTTAGGGAGCGCCTGGGGGGGCTCAGTTGGCTGAGCAGCTAACTCTCGACTTCCGCTCAGGCCGTGATCTTGTAGTTCGTGAGTTCGAGCCGCGAGTTGGGCTCTGCGCGGACAGTGCGACCGCGCGGGGCCTGCTTCTGATTCTTTCTCTCCCTCTCTCTGCCCCTCCCCTACTCGTGCGCGCGCTCTCTCTCTCTCTCTCTCTCTCTCTCTCTCAAAATAAATAAACTTAAAACCAACGTTTTTTTAAATAAACAAACTCGTTTTAAGTAGAAAGAAAACAAGAGGGGCACCTGGGGGGCTCAGGAGAAAGAGGGTCTGACTCTTGATCTCATAGTTGCAGAGATGAAGCCCCGAGACAGGCTGTGTCTGCACTGACAGCTCAGAGCCTGCTTGGAATTCTCTCTGCCCCTTCCCCACTCACACTCACTCTCTCTCTCAAAACAAATACATAAACTTGAAAGAAAGAGAAAGGAAGAAAGAAAAAGAAAGGAAGGGAGGGAGGAAGGAAGGAAGGAAGAGAGAGAGAGAGAGAGAGAGAACATGAGAGGGGCTCCTGGCAGGCTCAGTCGGTGGAATGTGCACCTGGGGATCTTGGGGTCATGAGTTCGACCCCACTGGGTGTCGGGATTACTTAAAAATTAAATTTAATTGATTAAATCATTAAAAGAGAAGAAATCAAATAGAAAATAGAAGAAACCAGGAAAAACCTAAAGCACGTTTTTAGATTAGAGAGACTGACAAGCCAGACCAACCTGAGGGAAGGAAAAAAAGTGACAGAAATCACCTGGAGCAAGAAAACACCAGGGGGCATCGCTACAGGCACACGTACACACGTTTAAAGGACACTCATTTAATTCAACGAGGAAAACACAGCTGAGAAATTCCTTGAAAATCACGGGCTCCCAAAACGGACACAGAATTACATACAAAACCTGAAATCGTGCAAAATATCGGAACACCTAACAAAACATACACAAGGTGTGTTCAGCGGCGAGGGGCGCACAAATGAAAACCGCGGGAGGACAGCCCCGCACATCCGCTCGACGGCTACCGCTGACACACAGACTGTCGCACGTGCTGGCACGAGCCTGGAGTGGCTGGAATTCTCTTACTGGCGCTGCTCAAAGTGCTGCCATCACTTTGGGAAATACCTGGGCAGTTCCTCCTAACGTTGAATGCGACCTTATCACCGACCCAGCAATTCTATGCCTAAGTATGTGACCCAAAGAAAGGAATACGTGTCTCGGGTAAGACTTGTACACACAGGTTCCCGGCAGCCTCCGTCAGCACAGACCAGAACTGGAAATGACCGCAGCGTCCACCGGCAGGGGAACGGGTAAACCGTGGTCTGTTCGCGCGATGGAACTCTCCAGAGGGTAAAAAGAAAACCACTGCCAGGTGCACTAACACGGATCAACTTCAGAATCACTTTGTTCCGTGAAGGGTACATACGCATGACCCAGTTTTATCAAAACCCAGAAGAGGTAAAACTAACTTCTAACTGTAGAAAGCACATCAGGGGCGATCTGGGCTGGAGGGCAAACCGCAAAGGGAAACAGAAGAACTCATTTAGGGCGATGGAAATGGTGCCTTGTGGCGAATGTTAAACAGCAGTCACTGGTCAAACTCAAAGAACTGGGCCCGTTCGCTGCGTGCGAATCATACAGCAGTGAGGCCGGGTTTTGTCTTTCAAAGACTACAGCAACGGTCTGGGCAGCGGTAAAAACGTCAAAAGCCACAGCAAGACGGTCACGGTAAAAGGCCACAACTCTGGGGACAGAGGGCAGCTCAGTCCCTCACACAAAGAGCAGGGAATCTGGGGGACGGCTTGGTGGTAGCCCCAATCCTGGGGAGGGCAATTTCTACCCCCCAGAGGGCCTGATCATCTAGGGGGAGGAGGGAGGGGGAGGGGGAGAGGGAGAGGGAGAGGGAGAGTGGTCCCTGGAAGTGATGCACATAAAAAGAGAAAGAAACTCACAGCAGTCACCTGACAGGCCTGACTGTGACTCCAGAGCTGCGGAAGAGGAGCTTCGGAGAGCACCCAGACACAGAGCCAAACACGAAAAGGAAGCGAACCCACAAAAATACCTTCACGAGTGAAAATGGCCAGCACGGAGGTGAGAGAGCTTAAATGTGCACTATTCACACAGCAGAAATCTTGGGAACATTATCCACAACCACAGTTTCAAAGGAGATCCAGATCTTATGAGGCATCAAAGACTGACGCTGAAGGGAAAACTCACCGCACGTGAACCCTCAGGAGCCCGAACCTTATCAAACATGGAGGCTGCTTTCGGTGGGGAGAGAACCCAGCCGCCAAATGAAGGTGGGAAGGCTTCTGGACCCGGCTCTAAACTGTCAGGCACCAGAGGACCCACACTGCAGAGGCCACGGCCCACTCTCCCTGAAGGAAAAGCTTGGGGGAGCTGACACCTCCTCTGAGTCCAGGGAAAGACCCTCAGTACACAAAGCATAGAGGCACATCTCACCCCGCATCAGAGCTCACATCCGAGAGGAGCCCCTCGAGCGAGTGCCGGAAACCTCCTCGGCGAGCGCACCCCTCATCTGACACCGTGAACCCGTGCCAGAAAGAAACCACACGGAGGCAGCAAGTGTGGGGGAGCCCTTGGCCAGAGTTCACCGCTCAGTCGACATCAGAGAATGAGAACACACACAAGGGAAAATCTATCAACGTAAGAAACTCAGTTCATTTGGAAATGCTAAGGAAATACAAAATTTGGAAAACACTGAATAAAACGATAAATATTAGGCAAGGACCAGAAAGGCCACAAAAAAACAAAGCAAGTACCAACTCCAGGAAAACCGAAGTGTGGCACAAGAGAAGGGACGTGAGCTGTTGAAAAGTCATACCTGGTCATCTGACTACAGATCCAACCACAGTAGGCCGTGTGACCACAGTGGACCAGCAGGGACCGGACGGGAGGGTCACGTGAGCTAGCAGTAAATCAGAAGGCAACGCCCGCCAGAGGCCGATGCAGAGTCAGAAATACAGGGCACCTCTTTGAAAGACAGAGGTTAACACCGGAAAATGCACGTCAGCAGATAAAGGCGGCACCACATGAAGATCATCTTCCACACATCAGCCAAGTCCACAGGCAAACGGGCGGCAGTAACCTGGAAAATCGTCTACACAAATACGGCAAACAGGCAATGCCCTTAATGGGATTAGGAGAAATTTGATCAGGCACGGGAGAAAAGGAATGCACCCCTCCCCCAAAGAAATATGGCCAAAGATCACAGACAAGTAATTTATCAGAGAGAAAGACAAACAGCCAAACGTACACTCTCTCTTAAACTTCAACTTTACCAGCAAATGAAGAAATGAAAAGTAGAAGATGACACTATTCCCCACCTTTAAAAAATGGGAGGGGCGCCCGGGTGGCTCAGTCGGTTGTGTCCGACTTCAGCTCAGGTCACGATCTCGCGGTTTGTGAGTTCGAGCCCCACGTCGGGCTCTGTGCGGAAAGCTCAGAGCCTGGAGCCTGCGTCCGACTCTGTGTCCCTCCCTCTCTCTGCCCCTCTCCTGCTCATGCTGTTTCTCTCTCTCTCAATAATAAATAAATGTCAAAAACATTTATTTTTTTTATTAAACTCATTATTTTTTATTAAAAAATTAAAATTAAAATTAAAAATAGCAAATATTCTTTTACTAATATCCAATCTATGGGAAATCATGGAAAAAGACACCTCGACGGACTAAGAGTATGAAAAAGATACTATAGTCTTTATGGTCAGAAATTTGGCAAAAACCAATCAAAACCAATCAAAAGCCTTTACAAATGAACCTCGGCCATGTGGCCACCACTGCCCGCCCATTACACGTGAGAGGGAAATGCCCGTGGTCGCCTACAGAGCCCGGCGCCTGAGACAACAGCAGGCGGGCGCTGAAGCCGGCCCTGGAGGGACCCGTCCCCATCCTGCCAAAGGCCTCAGCTTCCGGCCCAGCACCTGGGAGCGCCTAGCTGTGCTTTGAAGCCTGGGTCTTACACCTAAAAAAACTATGAGGATTTATTCTTTTTTTAAGTTTATTTATTTCTGAGAGAGAAAGAGCACAGGCGGGGGAGGGGCAGAGAGAGGGGGGTACAGAGGATCCAAAGCAGGCTCTGAGATGACGGCAGACAGCCCCGTGTGGGGCTCAAACTCACGAACGGTGAGATCACAACCTGAGCCGAAGTCGGACGCGCAACCAATGGAGCCACCCAGGTGCCCTAAAAATTATGAGAATTTATGTTAAAACGCGTGTGTAGGTGGCAAGGTTATGGGGAGTTTATATTTCATTTTATTTGCTTATTGTATTTTCCAGCTTTTCTATAATGACCACGTCATTTCATTTATAAGAAGGAAAAACCGGGGCGCCTGGGTGGCTCAGTGGGTTAAGCGGCCGACTTTGGCCCAGGTCAGAATCTCACGGTTCGTGAGTCGGGACCCCGCATCGGGCTCTGTGCTGACAGCTCCGAGCCTCAAGCCTGCTTTGGATTTTCTTTCTCTCTCTCTCTCTCTCTCTCTCTCTCTCTCTCTGCCCCTCCGCCACTCACGTGCTCGCTCTCTCTCAAAAACGAAAAATAAAAAAGGAGAAGCCAATAAAAGTTATCAGAGAGAAACAAGTTAGAACCTGGATTTTGCAGGGAAGAAAGGTGTAGCACAGGGCATACAGTCAAGTCCCCTGACGAGGCTGCGTGGCGACAGCTGGCAGCTACACTTGTTGAATCACCACGCTGGGCACCGGAAACGAACGGAGCACCGCAGGTCAGTGGCTGAAAACACACATGCGAACTCGTGGCTACAGGAAGGCCGTGTCGGGATTACAGAGCTATCGGCCAGGGCTCAGTTTCCTCTGGAAACGTGCACCGGTCCCGAACATCCTTCCTTAACCACGTTCCCGTGGTTCCCGCTTCCCACAGGCACGGTATTCTGCACGGCCAGGGGGCAGGTGAGACACGGTGCCCACCACCAGGAGGCAAACTTCTGGGCACTGGCCAGCGTCTGAGTCCAGATGTTGCAGTGAACCCTGGAAAAGCCCTCTACCCCACCCGGCAATCGGGGATTTAAGGGGGTCTGCCCACGGGCTGGATCCCCCACCCCACCTCCGGGTAGGAGACCAAGTAAACAGCAGGGCAAGCGTCTTAGCTGGAAGTCACAACACGCGCTCGACGTGAGGCCTTGCTCGTCACAACCACGGAGGGGGCCCTCTCAGGGGAGGCGACACACGCGCCACGGCCTGGCTTTGCCACGTTCTTCAACTAATGCCGCTGATTTCTACTTGGTCTCTCATAAAGCCTTACGTTATAAAGAACACGTACACGAACCATATGAGGAAATAATTTAAATCTTGTGGGCAGACTAACACAACTACTTAAGTTTGTTTATTTATTCGGTGGGGTGGGAGGGGCAGAGAGAGAGGGAGAGAGTCCCAAGTGGGGTCACGCTGTCAGCGCAGAGCCCGACGCGGGGCTCAATCCCACGCACCGTGAGATCACGACCTGAACTTCAATCGAGAGTGGGACGCCTCGCCGACCGAGCCCCCCAGACGGTTGTCTCACCTGCCCCAAGACAACTCTACGAGGGGCTGCCCTGCCTTCCACGTCCTCACTCCGTTAGCTAAGTGTCCCCAGTTGAACACCTTTTTACACACAGAGACGCTTCACGACCAAACTGTTGTGGAAAGGTAACCCTATGAATAATCCCGTGCCACTGAAAATACCCTCTCTATGCTTGTGTGAAAGATCACGCTGTAAGCTCCTAAACGTAAAAAGAGAAAACACTTAGGAAGACACCGCTTTTCTCTTCATAATCAAAACGCCTCTGAACTCGAGCACCCCTTCGGTGCACAGAGACCCCGAGATGAAAATAACAAGAACGTAGTAATTCAAACCGCAGCCACGCTCCGCGTGCTCACGAGGACACCTGTTTGTTCTGTCCGGACAGGAGCAGACGTGCTTCTGGACACAGCACATCCATCTGCCGCTCCTGGGGCCCCTGCCGGCGCCCGGTTCTCGGGCGACACACGAGGCGGGCGCAGCTCTCGGGGGAGGACCTGCCACCAGGGAGCGCCCCGGCCCGCTCGGGCCGCTCGAGGAGACGACCCGCGGCCCCGGTCCTCGCACCGGCCACGGCTCCCAGCACTGACCTTGTTGACCCAGAACACCATGGCGTCCTCGAGGTCGTACGGAAGCTCTTTCGAGGCGCTGAACGTTGAGAAGCGCTTGACGCTGGCCACCACCTTCTCGATGCTGATCATCTCCACGGTGTAGGCCATCATGAGGGCGTCCACCATCGCCATGTGGGCACTCTGGGAGCAGAGGTAATAGTTAGGGTGGCCCAAGCCCACCTCACCTCCGCGGCAACCTGGCGAGCCCCAGGGGCTGGCGGAGGGGAAAGGTACGAGCACAGAGAGATGCGCCCAAAGCTGCATGACCGCGAACAGGGCCCGGGGTTCCAGCAGGAGCCCTGCTGCCGAAAGTCCGCCACGCCTTTGCACCGTCTCCTCCCAGAACCCGAGGAACATCCCGTTGACCCACAGCGCGTCCTCCGCGAAACCCACGCGTGGAAAGCCACAGAGCCCAAGTCGCCAGAGAACAGCCAAAACCCAGTGACGTGGGAGGCACCCAAACTGGCCGACCTAGGGCAGTCTGGAAAAGTCACATCGACGGTGTGGCTTCCAGAGTAAAGGGGGGAGGGGGGAAAACAGAGTCTTTTCTTCTTTATTTGGACACAAAAATACAACGCGCGTGAACCACCTACACCTAGCAGGACAGGCCCGACAGCTGCAGGTCACAACGTCCGGACGTTTTCGTTAACGTGCCTCGACTTACCCTCCGGCGCACAGAGGGCTCGTAAGGAGGAAGAGAGCTGACGGGGAGCTGCTCTTTCCCCATCCTCCACAAGTCACAGGCACTTCGAGACACACAGCTCAGGAGACCGCCGCGCAGCCGCGAGCCCCGCCACCCGGCCGGCCGCTCCCACCATCTGCACCGCGGAGGGCCGGCTGGCGGGACGACAGGCCGGGGCGCCGCACGAGTGCCCGCGGTAGAAGCAGTCGCGGTCGGTGCCAGACCCTGCCTCCCCCCCGCCCCCCCCCCCACAGGACACTCACCATCTTTATGGGTGCGTGGCTGAGGTCGGGATCCGTCACGGGGGTGTCGTCACTCTCCATCACGTAGATCCCTTTCCGGGACAGGGCCTGGATGACAGACTGGTGTCCCTGTAAGGCCGCCACCTGGTCCCCCTTCAGGATGAGGCTGCACACACGGCAGTAGAGCTCGCTGGACAGCAGGAGCTTGATGACGGGCGGCTTGATGTGCTCCTGCTCATACTGGTCAATGTAAAAGGGGTCCCTGAGGTCCTCGGGGATGTTATCTGAGCCAAGAAGAGACCGGCACGTGAGCATGATGCCAACAGGGGACAGAGCTGCCGTCAATCACGACGGGCACCTAACCACATAAAAAGACCCCATCGTCTCCTCGGGCAAAGGCGACCCGGCTGCCGACACCGCCTGGGCGTGTGGGCGACGCGCTCGCCTTAGTGACGTGGCCGCCCCGACCTCCAGGGGTGACTCTCCTGCCAGACGGCAGCGAGAAGCACGTGTGGGAGCCCTAAGCAGGGAGCGAAGCCCAAGGGAAACCGAGATGCGAGCCGGCTGGACTGCACGGCACCCGGTCACGCCATGGGGGCCACGCGTGGCACAGGCAACACGCAGGCCCAGGTCACCCTGCAGACGGCGCGGGGCACACGTAGCATGGGTCCCGGGGAGGAGGTCAAGCGCGCCCTTTCCTGAGGTCACACTGGACACGGCAGCGAGGCCCGACACCACAGCCAGGCCGGCAGGCACCGTGACAAAGGCACGACCGCAGGGACAGGCCCTCACCTGACCCCGGGCCAGGCAGCACTCGACGCCACACAAGCCACGTGACTTAAGCACGCGGCAACTGTCAAGCTGAGACTCTCGTCCCTGCGTTACTAACGGGAAAACGGAGGCACGGGGAGAGCGTGCCATGTGCCCAAGGCCCCGAGCGGCAGAAGCCGACTGTGAATCCGGCCTGACTCACAGGTCTACGCCACCTCCCACACAAACACACCAGCCACACGTGCACCGCTGGGGACGCTCAGTTGCTAAACGGCTGGAGCATGGTCTCCCCAAGTGTCCCTCACACTTGCCCTGCAAGATGTCCATCGCTGTGCCCCCAAAGGGACGGCAGACCGGAAAACATGAAACTGCGCAGGCTAAGGCTGATCTCCTTCAGTGAGGCCCCCAGACCTGAGACCGCCCTCTGGATGCTCTGGAACAACCCTGCCTGTGAAAGGGTTCAGGCGGGCCCGGTCTCTCCAAGGACACCGGGGAAGGGCACCCATGGCACCTAGTGCCGAGACCCAGGGCGCCAGCGCGTCCTCTCCCCGCACAGTCCGGGCTCTCTGCGGCGACCTGGCGAGTGGCCTCCAACAGTGGCCTCTGCCTCCCCACCCCCCCCCACCCCCATCCTCACTGTCCTCATCACAGACTCTTTTCTCGGGGCCCTGAATCACTTCCTTGTGGGTGTTGTGGGCTCCTCGGTTCCCCACTGGCTCTCCTAACAGTGGCTAACATTCACACTGCCCTTCTGTTTGCAAGGCCCCGGTTCACATCGCCCGTGACTGTGACTGACACCGTGGCAGCCCTGCGGGCACACGGAGCCAGCCCTTCCGAGGCGGGAGGGACACACCCTTGGCTCAGGGTCAAAAGGACCCTGTCAGAGCCCATCCTATTTTAAAATCACCCAGAGTTCTGAGACAGAAGAGACCATCCCGACCACAGAGGAAGGGAGCCCCAGGGCAAAATGCCGTGGGAAGATTTCTGCTGCCTTTGTAGGCGGGGTGACTTGTGAGCGGGGGGGCCGAGGGAGGGACAGTAGCCGGCCCCACGCGCACGGGAGTGCGCCGTCCCAGAGAGCAGACGGCAGCCCGGGAGGACACCCACACGGACGATGCAGGACCTGGTTCTGACGGACGGGAGTCCAGGATGGGAGTCGAAGAGGTCGCGGGGCCAGGGGGTCCGCCAGCCTAGTCCGCTTTCAGGTGCAAGAGGCCAGGCTGACTTCGGGCAGCGGGGACTGGGACGCAGGGACCCGGGCCCACCCCGTCCTCCTCCTCTCCCCACGCCTGTCCCAGCTCCATCGCCTCTGCTATGGAGAGGCTTCCATCGTTCCCTCACCTCTCCAGGACTGGAAGGGCGCAGGTGACTTCAGTCAGTCTCGTGGCTTGAAGCACGGGCGTGTTGTCACCGTGAACACACGTCCCGACCCCAGCCACTTCCCTGGGTCTCCGTCCCTCTGCCCCTTAAGGTCCGCGCGACGGGCTGGCGGGCACGACGGGCTGGTGGGCACGGGGCCTAATCCGCCTGCAGGGGAAGGAACTCCACCTCCCAACCTGCCCCTCCCGGCCTCATCTCAAGGTCAGCCCTCACGAAAAGTTTCAGGGTCACCCAGTTCTCCTCCTGCCGAAGCCCTAGCAACTCTGGCTGACCCGCCCCCACTCCTTTTTTGTGTTTACTTTTTTGTTGTTTTTATTATGTACTGCAGTGACGTGCTGCATAACCCTCTAGAAGGGGTAGACGAGCATAACCGAGTTATCTTCATCAACCGGGAAAAGGCTCCCTTGATCAATATCCTCCACATCCTTTGACACAAAGTAACGATGAACTCCAGAGACCTGCCTATCGAACTCCACTAACACGGACAGGAGACAAGCCTTTCTTCCTCGCCCCCAGGACCGAGCCCGGGGATGTGCACAGCGGCTGTGCTGGGGATGAGCAGCACACGGCCAGGACACCGATCCCGGGCACAATCTCGAACGACATCGTGCCGCAGTTGCTGGGGCCACACTCTTCCTTCCTGGCCCCCTAAAGGTGGTGACCCAGCCTCCTAGCCAGAAAACGACAGCTTGAGGCCACGCCACAGCCACCGCCATGCCACCGTCCCCTCAGCGCCGGCCCCCTCGCCTCTCAGATTACCGATGGGCTCCCCTCCAGGACGGCAGAGACCTGCAGGCCTCAGGACAGAAAGGTCCCTTAGGGTCACAGCTGTGGGAGGAGGGCGTGGGACACAGGCACAAACGGAGGGTTGGCTGCAGGAAGGACAGGCGTCCAGGGGCACAGGTTCAGAAAGACGCAGCCTACCCGCACCCGGGAACCTGGAGAGGCTGGACAGAACCGCAGCCAGGGCTCTGAAGCAGCTTTTCTGTCTACCCAGGAGAAAGGTTTCCACGGGCGGCCCACTTGGTGGAGCTTTCAAGACTAATCGATATAAATTGACTCGGATAACCCACTTTTCAAGTACACCTGAACACGCACGTATGAATCACAGACCTGATCCCCATAAACTCCACATTTATGGGAAGATGACACGTCGAGTGCAGGGAAGCGCTCCGGACACCGTGCGGCTGCGCCCCGCCCCCCGCCCCCCTTCAGGGCAGCCTCTGCCCTCAGCCGTGGGCGGCGGGGGGCCAGTTACTGGGCTTCAGCAGGTCAACTGCTGCAGGGGCTTTATGCGCCAGCTGTGAAATTCCCTCTCAGTTTTACTAAAACCGACAACTGTTTAAAAGACGACTTTGCAAGTGCCTTATGGCTACTGCCAGGGACTTAGTTTTCGTTCCCTCTACAAACGGCAAAGACGATTTGTCAGAATCACTCCTGTGCGGAGCCGTCATTTACTGAGCACCTACTGTGAGCCAGAGACGCACAGAAATGAGGGGGTTAACGAGGACGAAGACGTCACCACTCGGGGCAGAGCCTCTTAAGATGACAGGGATCACCAAGCGCCGTGCACAAAACATGCTGGGCGCCACGCAGGACAGGTACAGGGTGCTCTGTGTTGCTCTGGGGCGCAGATGAGCCGGCACCACAGGGCAGAGAGGCCGGGCAGGCTTCCGGGGAAGGGAGGCAGCCAGGCTCTGGTGGCAGAGAGAGCGGGAACAGGGGAAGGGATGAGACCAAGGGAGGGGGACGGGATGACGACACATGAGGGACACACAAAAGAATGACCCCGAGAGAGGGTTCTGGAAAACTGCGGCTCAGCACAGGAGCAGCCAGCCGCACAGGCCACCTCTCGGCTCACCAACAGGCCATCGACTAAGTACCTACCAGCAGCCTTCACCAGGAGGGACTGGGGGCGCCAGTGGGGTCCCTCAGTGACAGGGACAGGCACAGGGGACTCTGAAGGCCTGAAGGGATGTGACCGGCCCCCGTGGGGGACGAGGGGCCGGAGGAGTTGGAGGACATAAGTCCCTACCTACCAGAATCCCACCACAGTCAGCGGCCCGAGCGACAACGGAGGCGGGCCAAGAACCGGTGGCACCAGGAAGGGGCACAGACACCCAGGAGGCATGGGCATCGGGCCTGGGGTGTGGCCAAGGCAGCAGACCTCCCGCTCTGCCGACAAGATGCAGGGCAGTGCCTCCGACACAGGAACCGGTGACGCGGAGGACGGTCAGGGGAGAGGGGCGGTTATTCTAGGCAGGACGTCTCTGAGGTGCCCGTGGGACCCAAGTGGAGACTTCAAAGCCGCAGGAAAATACGGAGATCAAAGCGCAAGGGAAAGGGTCTGGCCGGACACACAGGCTTGGGATCTACCACGCAGAAATAATTATCACAGCCACGGAGCACACGCACGGGGGGCAGAAAAGGTCGTCGGGTACACCTGGCCCACGGCCACGTGTGGGGCAGACCTGGGCAAGCGGGAGAAGGAAGCTGGAGACCGGCACGGAGAAGTGATCGGGGAAGGGGGGGGAACAGAAGGCGGGCTCGGAGAAAACACTTCAAAGCAGGAGCGATCAGCAATCACGGCGGGAAAAAGAGGAGACACAAGGCGGACTGAGAGGGGTCCGCGGATTTACAAGCCGGAGGCAGTGCCAGCCTGGGAAAGAGCAGCGGCAGGAAGGGTGAGGGATGGAGGGGCCAAGGAGAGGGCCAGCAGCCCCCTCTGCTTGGAGGGAGGCATGCGGAGGCCGGGGCACCAGGAGCGGGCTTGACCGACCACGGGAGCGCAGCCGGTGACGGGGGTCCAAGAGCAAGGTCTGGAGGCGGAGGCGGCCAGCGGGAGGGAGGAGCCCGCGTCTCTGGCAGAGAGGGCTGGACAGAAGGACGGAAGGCGGGAGGGGTGAAGCAGCCGCTAGGCCTGAGGGCAGTGGCTCCGTGCCGAGGGCGCCCCCAGGACACGGCCTGGCGGGAGGGACAGCGGTCCCCGTGACCCTGGTCTGCAGCAACAGCGACAGTGCGTACACGGGCTGGCGATCCGGGGCTAGCGCCCTGTGGGCACACCGGACAGGAAGGCCGCACGAAGTGCTGCAGGGTCCTGAGAAGCCCGCACCTGCCAGGCAGGACGCAACAT